CTCGAACTCTTCGCTCTTTGTGATTCCCGTCCCGCGACGAAAAGAGGAAACTGAACGGTGGAAAAATCAATTGTACTTTGGATGAAAACGACCGAGTGTATCAATCGAGCACGTTTTTCGAAGATAAGTGGATTATAATGCACCCGATAGCACATCGTGGTGACATTCAATTGGGTTCAATTACGACACGTTATTGAGTGAAAAGGGAAACTGTTTTCAGAGAGGATCGAACAGTGCATCAGATAAAGTAAGACTAATGAAAAAAGATTTATATATCAGAGAATTTTTATATATAAAAGATATATGAAAGAAGTCACCACGCTTCTGCAAAGAGGCACAGGACTTAAGAAGAACAATATATATATATTTTAATATATATATATATATATATATATATATATATATATATATATATTAAATAATAATATATACTCTCAAGATTGTTCCAATTAAAACTTATTCGACGCGAGAATTTACACATGCGACAGCCCAAACCGGCAAATATCAGCGAACGCACCCGAAAAAAATCTCTTCGGCATATTCAATTTCGAGGCAATTTGAGGTATCTTGTGCAAGCCGCAACGTCGGTTAACATCGAGAAAACGTAATTGGCTGTAACGGAATCTAAGAGCGCGATATTGATATCAAATTAGGTCGGATTATCGGACACGCTCGAATAATCACAGAAAAATCGTATAAAACGGACTAAAATAATAATCGCGCGGGCGAGACGGGGGGTATCGAGGGTGTTCTAATTAAAGACAATCGATACCGCCTCCTCGGCCTGGCAGACGCTCCGATCGCATGCTAGCGCTGATAAACGACCACGGTGATTCGAATAATGATTCGTGCGGGATGTCCGTGTACGTCGTAAAGTTCACACGAGCCTCGTCGAATCGCATAAATCCCGAGCCCGGGCGGCCGCGGAGGGACGCGGGATGATAAGTACGGAGGAGGGGACGGGCGAGAGGGCGAGGTTGAGGGGTGGAAAGTGAAAGATGAGGGAAAGTAAGACGAATGCCGGGGCCGGCGAGAGAGAAAAGGGCGATTTCGAGTCTTGCCGGAGCAAAGACGGCATCGCGGTCCTCCGCTATATTAGCAAAGTTTTATGACGTATGTAGCCGCGACGTGCCGTCGCCGGGGGAAAATGCAAGTTTCCGTTTTCCCGCCGCCCCCGCGCCGTTCTACGGTGCAGTCCGTTGCCGTCGCCGCTACGAGCCCCATGGGTTTACGGACAAGGCGAAACGGGGGGTTGGGATGACGTTAGGGACGGACCGCGGGCCGACTGCCAGAGAAACTTGGGCGAATCTGGAAATTTTGCGAGACGACTCGTGCGGGAAGCCGGGCTCGATATCCGTCGGAGTAATCGACGCGTGCGAAATCCATCGCCGATCGTTCTCGTCGCATTCGTCCCGGCGATATCGGGAAAGCGTGTGTGTCTTTTGTGTGACCGTTCGGGTCAGTTCAAAAGTTTCGCTCGAAGATTGCCCGCCTCCTCCGATGGACACACTGGACATCTTTCACGAAGAAGATGGACGAATGTTGCTGGAACGTTGGCGAAGGATCGTAAACAGTGATGACGGTTGACGTGAAAATACCAATGTTCAAACATGCACCTAACATTCTCTGCATTCTTATTGTTTTCGGTTTTTAAGTGTGAATATAAAAATCTGCCGGCGAAGCATCACGATCGTCCTATCGCGAAAATAATAACACCCCGTCATAAAGTTCTTCAGTACTGGTATTATGTCTAATTTCACCAGAAGTAGAAACATTATATTATTCATAGCGTAACGTGCAATAGGTTCTATATTTAATTCCCGGGAAAATTTTAAAATGCGTACTGAGAGTTAATCGCGACCTCGCGAATTTTAATCGTCCATCCAATTAAATCCAAAGATCGAATACAGCGAAGAATTAAGAGCGCACGGAATACAATTGCAAAAAAGCGCAATAAGACAGTTGAATTATCCATCTTGGTCCAAACTCTCCTGAGGAAGAGAGATTCTCGACGAGAGGATGAGGAGAATGGGCGGGGGGG